CGAGGACGTAGGCGACGACTGCAGGGAAGGGGACGAAGACGAGGACGGGGAGGAGGACGACGATGATGACGACAACAAAACGACGACTACGACGACGACGCCGACGCCGACGACGAAGGTCACAACGACGACGACCACGACGACTTCATCGGCGACGTCGACGACGAGGACGAGGACGGCGAGAGCAAGGACGACGACGACGACAAGGACGACGACGAGGACGACGACAAGGACGAGGATGAGGACGGGGACGACAACGACGAGGACGAGAGCAAGGACGACGACGACGAGGACGACAAGCGACGACGAAGACGGCAAGAGCGATGAGGACGACGACGACGGTGACGAGGACGAGGACGACGCCGACGAGGACGACGACGGCCGCCTCTGAGGGTCTCCAGAGGTCTCCGCAGGCCTCAGGAGGTTCCAGGAGGCCTCTGGAGGCGTCTGGAGGCCCTTGGAGGACCTCGTAAACGACGACGACGAGGTCAAGGTCGAGGACGAGGACGACAAACGATTACGACGACGACGACGACGACGACGACAGCGATGAAGACGACGACGACGACGAAGACGAGGACGACGCCGACGACGACGGCCGCCTCTGACGGTCTCCAGAAGTCTCTGGAGGCCTCAGGAGGTTCCCGCAGGCCTCTGGAAGATTCTGGAGGCCTTTCGAGGTCCTCGGAAACGACGACGAAACGACGACCAAGGACGACCAGCACGATGACGACGACAAGGACGAGGGCGAGGACGGGGACGATGCTGAGGACGACAATGACGACGACGACAACGACGACGACGACGACGACCACGACGACCGGCACGACGACGACGACGGCGACAACGACGGCGACAAAGACGGCGACAACAACAAAGACGACGAGGGTGACGAGGACGACAAGTACGAAGACGAGGACGAGGACGAGGACGACGACGACGACGGCCGCCTATGGAGACGTCTGGAGGCTCGGTGGTGCCTGTCAGCACCACACAATGCCCATGAACACGGCGCCAAAAATTGCGGGTGAGCCAAGACTCGGGAGCCCCTCTCCGTACGTTCGTTTCCGTTACGGGAGGGGGGCGGGGCCCCCGTAACGGACGTAACGGGCTCAACGAGTAAAACAAAAGAATCCGCCGACCCCTTGGGGATCATCGGCGTGTGAGCTTCCCCCTCGCCAAACCCCTCCCCTGGGAGCCCGGTCTGGTCGATCTGGAGGAGGGGGGGGGCGTCTGGCCAGAGCTCATCGGGGGGGTGCGGCCCTTCCCGGGCCCCTTTTGGAGGTCCACGACAGCTGCTGGGGCCGCCCAAGAGGCCCCCAAGCAGGTCCAAGAGGGCCCCGAGACGCCGAAAGATCGTTCCAAGACGCCAAACATGGGCCGAAAGATCGTTCCAAGACGCCTAACATGGGCCGAAGACGGCCCAAGAGGCCGCGAAGACGTTCCAAGAGGCCTCCCAGAGGCCAAAGTTGTCGAATTCCATCAGGAAAACGTGCATTTCTAGCACATACGATTTTTCCGCCTTCACAGCGCGGAAGCCCTTCCAAGATGCCTCCAAGATTGCCCTAAGACGGCCCCATAGGCTCCCAAGAAGCCCCCACCACGGCACAAGAGACGCCCAAAACGACCCAAAAGGGCTCCAAGACGGCCCCAAGAAGGGCCCGAAAGGGGGACCACAAAACGAATATTCCAGCCGTTCGCCCCTAGAGGCTCGGAGGCCACAAGAGGATCCAAAAAGGCGTCCAGACGCCCCCAAAAAAGCTTCCAAGAGGCCCCAAGAGACTCCCCAGAGGCCTCCGAGAGGCCCCAACGGGCCCCGAACGAGGCCCCCAAATCGGCTTCGATGTACGATGGTTCGCCCTTCACAGCGCGGAAGACCCTCCAAAATGCCTCCAAGACCGCCCTAAGACGGCCCCATAGGCTCCCACACCGGAACGGACCCTTCGAACCTTCGGCTCCACGACGCCCCCAACGTGCCCCAGGGACCCCCAGGAAGCCCCCAAGAAAAACAAAGGGGCCGGCGGTTTGGCGGCGCAAGCCTGAGGATCCCCCGGCTCCAGGAGGACCCAGCCGAGGCATCCGGAGGGGAGGCGGGGTCAGCAGAATGACCTGATCGGAGTCGGGCCCGTGGGGGTGCGTCTGCTGCTGCTGCTCATCGCCTGCCGGGCTGCTGGCTGACGAGGATGACGCATGAGATCCCTGAGGGGGGCGGGGGGGGGGGGCGAAACCTGAAGTCGCCAAACCGTCCAGTGCGGCCAGTGGCCAGGGACCGCCCCAGCGAGGAGGAGCTCCTTACGCCAGCAGTTCAGGGCGTCTGCCGACAGGGCACCCCAAGCCAAGCGCACTCGGAGCAGCGCACAAACCAGCTTGCAGTACGCGAGCCCCGTGCACGGTAGCGTGGATCGTGGACGAGGGATAGCGGGCGAAGGCGAGAAGGAAGAGGAAGACAATCGCACGCGAGCGCTGTGATAATACCAAACCTCGGGTGTTTTTGTCGTTTCCCGATCGGCTCGGATCCAATTCTTGACACTGTTTCACGTCGCCTTGCGCTTGTTCCATGGCGTCGGATCTTGGGGGGGCGAGCGGTGCGAACACGGCACGCGATCTCCCTTGGAGTTCGGGGATGCCGCATATGCCCTCGCAAGCCTCAACCTTACAGTAACCACAACCTTCCTGGGGCCAGGTGGACCTTTAATTCTCTTCTCTTATATTCGTCCACCAATCGTTATTCTCTTGTCTCAAATTAATTAGCTGCAATGAAGAAAGAAGATTCGTAACGGTGATAGCATTCCTTTCATTTCATGTTTACATTCATGTTTTATTTGATGGCAACCTATTATGTTCCTTTCTACTTATGGTTGCCATCTTACATAAAAATTGTTAAATTCGCCTCAACCTTGAGCACGACCTTCATGGGGCCAGGTGCAGCAAGCCAAGAGCGAAGGCGCTGCTGCCAAGCCGCTGCAACTACGCAAAGCCATCACGGGCGCGTCGTGATGGAGCCAGCACGCCGCCGCGACGGGCCCTCCAAAAAGAGCGATGCGCGAAGCAGCGGCACTTCCCTCAGACACGAGCTGCGAGTGTCGAGCCTCGGCTGCTCGCAGAGAGAGAGAGAGAGAGAGAGAGAGAGAGAAAGAGAAAGAGAGAGAGAGAGAGAGAGAAAAAAAAAAGAGAGAGAAAGAGAGAGAGAGAGAGAAGAGAGAGAGAGAGAGAGAGACGTGCAGCACCAGGCGCTGCACGAAACGAGCAGGGAAGGCACCCGGAAGGAGCCGTCCTCCCACTCTGCCCTCCTCGCCCCTTCTCTCCCGACTCTCTCTCTCCGACCCGCCTTCCCTGCATCCCCCCCATCCTTCCCGGCCCCATCACATCTCCCGCGCTGATCCTCGCTCCTCCTCCCGCTTCCCCCTCGGACCCTGCTCCTCCGTCCTCCCGCGCCTCCTCCCCCCACGCCTCCGCCCCTGCCTGCTCTCCCCTTGGCCTCGCCCTCGTCTCCGCCACTCTCCCCGGCCCCTCCCCGTCCTCGTGCCCCCCCTCATCCATCCTGTTCGTCCTCATCTTCCTCCTCCTTTCGATCGTTTCCCCCTTCGCTCCTCTGCCATTTCGCTCTCCTCGTCCTCCTGCACCGTGCCTCGTTTACATGTAGTTTGTCGATCCTTCTTGAACGTCCCATGTGTTCCCTCCCTCGTCAGCAAAACTAGCCCTCCAACCCGATGCGTATCAACGCGTGGGCATGTTCGATACACTCTCACGTCTGCCTCCCACCTCCGCATCATCGCTATCATTGCATCCTCATTGTCATCGTCCTCTTCCCACCTCATCCCTCCACATGCCTACTCCTCCTTCTCCTCGCACCTCTCCTCCTCCTCCTCCTCCTCCTCCTCCTCCTCCTCCTCCTCCTCCTCCTCCTCCTCCTCCTCCTCCTCCTCCCCTTCCATGCTGCCCCCATGTCTCGCGGACTAATGGTCGAACCGTGGAGCTGGCCAAGTAGGCCGTCTCGCCAGAGCAGGTGTGGCTCGTCCAAGCTTGTCGCTGGAGACACGCAAACCCAGGCCGACGCGCGGACATGCAAGCGGCACAGCTGGTCGCCGCCGGGGCGGGGCTAAGCCTCGTGCACGGGGCGCGGGGCACGGGCGCACTGGGCGCACGGCAGCTGAGACCTGCCGCCTGGAAGGCTGGGTGCGCCGCGGCAGCTGCAGGGGCACCGTCTCGTGACCGCCGAGGTGCAGGAGCTGTAACGACCCGCCGAGGCTGCCTGTGCCCGAGGCGCGGCGCGCGCCAGGTACGGTGGCGGCCGCCTGCGGACCACAGACTGCGTGGCAGCTGCCCGGGCCCCCCCCCGGCACGGCGGAGGCCCGCCCGCTACGCCGCGGCAGCTCCGCGAGCCGAGCTCCCAGACGGCCGCTGAGCACCGCGGCCGCGTACGGCGCGGCAGACTGCGAGCGCTCCGGGCTGCGGGCGCGGAGGCGAGCGGGGGCGCACCCAGCGCCGGGGAGGCGGCCAGCGCTGGGGGCAGGCCATCGGGGCTGCGGCTCGGGCGTGCAGGTGCTGTGCGCCGAGGCCGCGGCCCAGCTCCGCTGGTGCGCCTCGGTCGCGGCTGTTGTCGCCTGGTGGCGCGGCCGGGCGCGGGCGCTTCGCCAGTCGCCCTGCGAGTCTCAGAAGTGTGCTGGCTGCGGCTTGACCTGCAGCCCAGAGGACACATCAGCAAGCAAAGAGAATCCTGCCCCCTCTCCCTTCCAATGTCACCGCTCCCTTGTCGTCCCTCCCCATCGCCCTCCTGCGCCCACCTCCGCCATCTCCTTCTCCTCATCCCCCTCCTTCCTTCCTCTCCCATCTTCCTCTCATCACCATCACATCCTCATCCTTCTCGTCATCCTCGTCGTCGCTGGCCTCCTTCTCCTCGTCCTTATCCTCATGCTCTCCTTGCGCACCCCCCATCGGCAGCAAGTATCGGCAGCATGCCTCGGCGAGAGGAAGCCAGGGGGGGAGGGCGCGGGCCCCTCCTCCTGAGAACGAGGGCCTCCGCGACATCATCTGCGCGAAGCTGTCGGCCGCCTCCGAGGGAGCCTCCTCCGCCCTGGCAGCACCTCGCGCGGGCGAGGTCTGCGCGGGCTTCCGGGCCATGATCTGCGCGAAGACGCTGGGCACCGCCGGCCTCGGCGCGGGAATATAGGTGGCACGCTGGCGCGGGACGAAGGAGGTAGGACAAGAGGAAGGGGTCGGTGAGCCGAGGTGGGAGGACGAGGAGCAGGAGAGGGTACACTACTGGCACAGTACTCCGGCGCCGCTAGTCTGGCGCAGTAGTCTGTCTGGTACTTTAGTCTGGCACTTTGGTCTGGCACAGTCGTATGGTGCTTTGGTCTGGTACTTGGCCTGGTACATTCGTGTGGTACTCTAGTCTGGTACATGAGTCTGGTACTCTAGTCTAGCACATGCGTCTGGTACATTCATCTGGTACTTTAGTCTGGCACCACGCTTACAGTTAAGAACCCACCGCTTACGGTTAAGACCTCCTCTTGGCCTAAGGAACGGGCAGGAAAGCCCAGAATCGAATCGATAAGTCGGATCGGCGATCACAATGAATCGGATCGGCGGAAATCGGCCGCCGAGTCGGGAAAAGTCGAATCGGCGGAAATCGGTCAGCTAGCAGGCCCCCATTGAGAAATCGGAGCCCAGACCAGAATCCGAAGTCGAGCCGAATCGGAATCGGAGTCCATCGAAATCGAATCGAATCGAATCGGGGGGAGCGAAATGAGCCCTGAAGGGGGAGGCAAACGGCAAAGCTCACATTCACGCGGCCTGGCGCTTCCGCAACACCGCTGGCGGGGGAGGAGGGGCGGGGAGGGGCCTCGGAGGCGAGGGCGCGGGCCCTCGCTGCGTCGCCTCCGCCTCCTCTGGCCGCTGGGCCACGGTCGCTGCCATGTGGCAGGAGACACTCCCGGCTTTCTCGTCGTGGGGGGCTACATGCGAACCCTACCCCTACCCCCCACGAGTTCTGAGGGGGAGGGTGGGGTTCACATCGTTCGGGAGCTCCCGAGCGGAGTGAACCCCACCCTCCCCCTCAGAAATCGTGGGGGGTAGGGGTTAGGGTTCGCATTTGGCCCCCTATCGTCGGTTTAGGTCGGGCCTGTCCCCCTACAGGCAGATTTTGGGCGAAAACTTACAAAATCACAAGATATATTCAAACAAGGTTGACAACTTATCAAAAAATCGTCCCCAGACTGTTTCTGACCACTTCTACATATACCTCCTGTAGTGGGGCAAGCCCGACTCAATCGTCGGTGATCCGCGCACGGCGAATTGTGCCCGCTGGGAGCGCGTGGCCTTCCAGGCCGCGCTCGGCAACGTTGTCAGCATCCGCGTTGGTCTGCAGCCCTCATTTGGCCCAGCGGGCTTGCTGGCCAGCGCGCCGAAGCCACCGCTTGGTCTTCGCCGTTTCCAAGTCGTCGGTGTGGCTCGGGGCCCAGACGACGTCTCGTTTGTCCAGGGCTGGGACGGCGAGCTGCGCGATCCGGCGCAAGAGGTCGGATTCCTCATCGGCTTCGCAGGCTGCTGCGGCGCTTCGGAGACAAGGTAATTAGGCCACGAACCACTGTTTCGTCTCTGCCTGGCTAGGTCGGCGTGCTGCAACGCGAACCGGACGGCATCTTTCTCTGCCTGGTAGACCGTCTGCTCCGTGCCCGGCAGGGCGCCCCAGAAAGGAAAGCTCCTGTCGGCGCTGACTGCGCCCCACGCCGCACGGCGCATGCGGGCGTCGCCCAGATGGGCCGCCGTCCGTCGGTGGCCACCGGCCCAGCGAGCCGCGGGTGGTGTTCGGCTGCTGCCACCACGCGTCGGGGCGCCCTCCTAGCCCCGGGACGCTCCCGACAGGGATGCGCGCGGCCTCCGCCGCCCCCAGACCGCGGCAGAGGAAAAAGCGGCGAGAGCGCACTGCGCGCGTCGATATCGAAGAACTCCTGCATATCAGACCTGCCGCCTCGCGCTCTTCGCCTGCCGCGCTGGGCAGGCGACGGAACGGTGTGCCTTCCGCGTGCGGCGCCCGGCAGCGGTCGCAGCGGCCGTCGGACCGACCCTCCAGGGCAGCACGCGCTGGGGTGCTGGCGGCGCCGGTGAGCGCGCACCGCGGGGCGCCTGCCTCGCGCGCCTCGGCTGTCTTCCGAAGGCGCTGCCAAGCGGTCAGCTCGGCCCCCTGCTCGACGCCGGTCGCGCCGCCACTCCCGTGCAGCTTGCCTCCAGAGTGCGCGCTGGGCTGCCTGCGTCGCCTCCGCGGCAGTGCGCTTGGGCGCGGCGGTCAGGTCGAGCGAGGCGCCGGCTGCAAGGCGCCACAAGGCGGGCTCCTCAGGCCTCCAACCCCCGTCGCGCACAGCCTGCGCGACGGCTGCCACAGGGCCGCGCATGCGCGAGGGCGGCAGCTGGACCTGCTGGCACCTTGCAGCCGCGGCCCGCCGCGCCGCGGCCGGCGGCGCGCCCGCGAGCTTCCCGCGCCACGACGCGGCGCGACCACTGGCGCATCGGACGCGCAGGCTCTACCGCCGCTGGATCGGCGTCGCCCCTCAGCAGGGCCAGCGCGGAGGTGAGGTATACCTCCGGCCTGTGCGAGGCCCCGCCGCAACCAGCGCCATGGGGCGGCGCAGCGATGATGATGATGATGATGATGATGATGATGATGATGATGATGATGATGATGATGATGATGATGATGATGATGATGATGATGATGATGATGATGATGATGATGATGATGATGATGATCGAGGAACGGTCCGCGGGCGAAGCCAGTGACCTCTGCCCCGCGCGTCGCCCCCCGAAGGATGACCATCGGCGCCGCTTGGAGCCTGCTGCGCGGCGCGCCTCGCGGGCGCTGCAAGCGTCGGCCACGCGGCAGCGCTGTGCGCCGACCTGGCGCCGGGCGGCAGCAGCGGCATCCACGCCCAGGTCCTTGGCAGCCTCGGAGAGGTCCACCCTGGTGCCCTCCAGAGCCCTGCGGGGGGCGCGCCTGGCGGCCTGCAAGCTTGCTCGCGAGCACCCGTGCCTTGCCCATGCTGAGCTCGCCGCCCCAGCTCCCGATGCCGGCGCGCCACGCGATGGCCGCGTCTCTCAGGCTCGGCGCAACCGGCTGGCCGGGGCCCACGGCGTCCACGTGGCAATCGTCGGCCACCAGGCGCACACGGCGCGCGCAGGGGCGGCCGCCGCGCGCTGCAGGACGCCGCCGGCCAAGCCGCATGCAGCAACCAATCCGGTCGTGGGCAGACGCCGGCGAGAGGGCAATTTCTGCCGGGCGCGCCACCCGCGGCGCGGCGTGCCGCGCGATCGCCACGCGCACAAAGCGAAGAGGGCAGCGCCCCCTGCGAGCCGCCGCGGCAGCCGCGCTGAAGGGCACCGTCTCGATCAAGAGTGCGGGAGCCGCTGCTTCAGCGGCGGCAGTCGGATCAAGAGTGCGCCGTGGCTGCGGCGGGTGGCGTTCGCCGTCTCAGCTCTACTCGCTGAGTGCCAAGCGAGGCCCGGGGCTCCTCTCCCCCGCCCAGGTCTGCGCAACTAGCTGTCTGGGCGCGGCCCAGAGGCGGCAGGGCCGCGTCAGCAAGACAGAGGGGGGGAGCGCCCACTTCCACGGTGCCATGGCGGCCCTGAGCCCACGAGCGAGTCACCGGGCGCCGCGACGTTTGGCGACGCCTGGCGAGGACTCTAGCTCAGGCGACCATCGGATTCCGAACTCAATTGGGCACATGTTTGATCCCAGCGCGCGAGGAGTTATGCATCGTAAATATATGATCATGGCTTACAGATGAAGCGTGAGACTCCTCTGGGCATCTGGGAGGGAGCCGAACGGCAAACATTGCTCTGAAGCGGGCAAGGGACAGGAAGGCGCGGGAATGCGAGCGAAAAACGACAGGGGACAGAGGGAGCAGGACGCGACAATAACTTACATGCCTCGTCTCCGCCGACGGCGCAGCACCACGATCTGCAGATCCCCACCTCCCTGCCTGAATTTCCCAAACGCGGCCCAGGCATTGCCGACAGTGCGGAGATGAGAGGAGCCGGTGGAGGACGCGATTGACTTGGCAGCGAGAAGACGACACACAATTCGATCACATACGGGGGGGGCGCCCAGGCGAGAAAGACAGAACCCGCCTCAGCAAAACGGGGACGCCCGAATCAGCTTGTCTTCGCCGCTGAAAGCCGGGGCTCTCAAGGAGTCCTCAAGGACGCGATCGGCTACATGCAAGAGTGACCCTGGGTAAGAGTGACCTTTGGTGCGCGGCTGTTGGGGGGACGCGGGGGGGACCAAACTCAGGCTCGCAAGACGCTACCATCGCATTGCAATCGGTGATCGGGGGACCCCATTGTGCCCGCACCAAAGGTCACTCCGGCGAAAGGTCACTCTTACGTGTAGTCGACGCGAGTCCTTCTCTGCACGCGAGTCTCCCCCGGGCGAGGCCTTCGGACACGGCGCAGATCGTTCGCCGTCGGCCGCCTCCAGGCCGCCGGCGGCGCTCGCGCCTGAACGCCTGCGCTCGGGTCGCCGCCGCGTCGACACGGCGCGCACCCGCCGTACCCTTCGGTCGGGCATGTCCTCCGACGGGCGGACCTCGGAAGAAACATTACAGTAGATATCGTCGAAGCATGCTCAGACGATTCAACAATAGTCCACACATCGTCCCACCACTTTTTTTTGCCCATGTTTGAATATTCGTCCTGTAGAGGAAGATGCCCGTATTAGCCATACCCTTGCACGGCCTGCCCTTCCTTCTCAACTGCGCCGGCGGACGGACGGTCTCCTGTGGTCGCCAGAGGTTCCCAGGGGTCTCCGGAAGGATCCACAATGCGCCGCGGAGGCCCGACGAGGCCAACAGATCAGGGGAAGCCTCGACCCTGCATCGTCGGACCTCAGAGTTCGAGCTCGGACGGCGGCGAGAACGACGACGACGACGTCGACGACGTCGACGACGATGACAGAGACGACGACGACGGCGACGACGACGACGACGACGACGACGACGACCATGACGACGACGACGACGACGACGACGACGACGACGACGACGACGACGACGACGACGACGACGACGACGACGACGACGACGACGACGACGACGACGACGACGACGACGACGACGGCGCGAGGGGGTGGGGCCTAGACGTGCGGCGGCGCAGTCTAGCGGCAGCGGCCACTCCACCGAGAACCTGCAGGGCAGGGGGTGCGGCCGCACGGGCGTCTTGCCCGCCGCGCACCGCGATGCCCGCTGCTGCGTTCTGCCCCCGACCCTCGATGGGGAACGTAGAGAGAGTAGGGCCCAGACACCAGCTCCCGACGCCAACGTCGCCGTGGACTGGGCAGCACGCCAGCAGCATCGGAGCTCACCCCATATCTCATCGAACCCCATCTTGCCGAACCAGGTGCGGGATTCTGGCTGCAGCGCGCGGCAAAGGGACGGGAGGCACCTGGACGTTTCCGTGCCTCGGGAGGCCTCCAGGCACCTCTGGGGACATCGGGGGATCAGGATCCTGGGCGGAAGCAAAACTCAGCATCTCCGACTCCTCGTCACCGTCCTCCTCCTCCTCCTCCTTCTCGTCCTCCTCCTCGTCCTCCTCCTCCTCCTCCTCCTCCTCCTCCTCCTCCCCCTCCTCCTCCCCTCCTTCTCCCCCGTCTCCTTCCCCTCCTCCTCCTTCTCCTCCTCCTCCCCCTCGTCCTCCTCGTCCGCCTCCTCCTCCTCCTCCTCCTCCTCCTCCTCGCTCCTCGCCGCCCGCGGACATGGCGGTCCCGGCAGCTCCAGGCGGGGCCGTCCCTGGACTCCGCCGCAATCCCAGGCCGACCTCCTGTCGAAGACGGCCTGAAAGATGTGGCTCGGGCAAAGGCGGGTGGCGCCACCTCCGTTACCGCGTGCCCGAGTCCACTCCTCCTCCTCCTCCTCCTCCTCCTCCTCCTCCTCCTCCTGCTCCTGCTCCTGCTCCCCCTCCTCCTCCTCCTCCCACTCCTCCTGCTCCTGCTCCTGCTCCGCCTCCACACCCATCGATTTCAGTATCCACCGCCAGCTCCCCCATTCCAACCAGCTCCTTCACCTCATCATGCCGAGGTGCAGGAGGAGGTGGCGGATGGAGACAACTGGCAGTGGCAATGCACAACAGATCCTAATGGGCGTCCTCATGTTCGGCCCCGAGCGGGTATCATTTTGCCCGCCCCTCAAAGCCAAGCCCAATCCACAATCGCCCTTTGCTTGCCTTCGCTTGGACCATCGTTCATGACCAGATGGTCTCGAGCTTTCCTCTTCCCCCACACGCTCCATTCCATTCCTGCATCTGCATCTCCTCGTCCGCCTCCTGCTCATGCAGCTCCCCACCCTCCCCCTCTCCCTCCTAGTTTCCTCTCTCCCTAGGGCCCTCTCTCTCACCTATATCCTTCCTTCTCTCTCCTGATACCCCTCCTCCGCCTCTACTTTCACACTCCACTTATCATCTCCGCCCTGACCCCCGTTTTTTTCCATTCTGTGTGCATAAGGCAGAGCCTGTCGTGTGCAGATACATGTCCCATAGTTTCCCCCATCGTTTCTTCAGCGGCATCATCATCATCATCATCATCATCATCATCATCATCATCATCATCATCATCATCATCATCATCATCACCATCATCATCATCATCATCATCATCATCATCATCATCATCATCATCATAGTCATGATCATGATCATCATGACCATCATCACCACCACCACCATCATCATCATCATCATCATCATGAGCATCATCATCATCATCAACGTCATCATCATTATCATCATCAGTATCATCATCATCATCATCATCAACATCATCATCATCACCGTCGTCATCATCATCATCATCATCATCATTACCAACATCTCAATCAATATGATAATCACGATCAACATCATCATCATGATGATCATCATCCTCATCATGATCAGCATCATCATCAGCATCGCAATCAAAGCATCGTCGTCACCACCGTCATCATAGCATAGTCTTCATCACCACTGCCATCATCGTGAACATCATCACCATCAACATCATTAGCATCAGTATCATCATCCGCATCCTCCTCCTCTTCTCATCATCAGCGTTCGCATCATCATCGCCGCCGTCGTCATCATCATCAGCAGCATCATCAAAGTCAACGCCATCATACGCAGCATCAGCATCAACATACTTAAAATCATCATCAACAGCATCTTCAGCATCGGCATCTCTGTCGTCCGCATCATCATCGACATCATCAATACCATCACCAGCAACATCCGCATCATCAACAATCTCATCATCGCCATCGCAATCACCAAGAACGGCATCATCAGCATCCTCGTTACCAGTACCATCATCAGCATCATCAGCATCATCATCATCACTATCGTCAGCAGCAGCATAAACGTCAGCAGCATCATGATCGTCATCATCATCATCACTATCAGCATCATCATCATCATCGTCATCACCATCATCATCAGTATCATCATCATCATCATCATCATCATCATCGTCATCATCATCGAACCATCGACATCATCGTTGCCGTCGTCATTAGCATCATCGTCATAATCCTCAGACTCATTTTCGACCTCACCCCCATCCTCTTGCTCACCCTCATCCTCATCCTCATCCTCATCCGCGTCCTCATCATCATCCTCATCGTGATCGTCATCATCATCATCATCATCATCATGATCATGATCATGATCACCATCATCCTCATCGTCACAAGCATCATCATCAGCATCATTCGCATCAGCATCAGCCTCATCACCATCGACATCATCACCATCACCATCACCATCACCACCACCATCACCATCTCCATCATCACCATCACCATCACCATCACCATCACCATCACCATCATCATCATCATCATCATCATCATCACCATCACCATCATCATCATCATCATCATCATCATCATCATCATCATCATCATCATCATCATCATCATCATCATCATCCCCCCTGAGCTTCCTCCCTCCTCCCTCCTGCCCAGTCTCCGCGTCCTTTTTCACTCCTCCCCCTCCCTTCCTTTTTCCTCCCTCTCTCTTCCACATCCCCTTCTCATCCCTTCCTTCCTCCCACTCCTATCCTCCTCCTTCTCCTCCTCCGCCTCCTGTTCCTCCTCCCCAACGGCTCCCGAACCTCAGGGAGCCTCACACCTTGGGCAAAAGACCTGCGTAACGAGGGGGACATCGCAGCTCCAGAGTCTCCCCCTCCTCATCCAATCCGGAGGGGGAGGAAGACGACAGAGGACGGAGGAAGGATATCCTTTTCAGGCGGAGAAGGAAGAAACGGACAACCCCAGACGATGATCGCAGTGAAAAAACTTGACCAGGTGTGCCCACAGAGCGTGGCCAGACCTCGGACCCCTGATCCGGCCAGAGCGGGGAGAACAGGGGAAGGGGAGGGGTAGAGAGGCGGATGGACAGAGGCCAGGAACAGTGGAGCAGGACAGAGAGAAGGAGAAAATACTGTCCAGGCGTTCAGCCCCAAGATCGGTGCGAGCGCATTCTTGGACAAAACCATGTACACCAATGCACCAGCTCTTCATCCTCCTCCTCCGCTAGCTCCACTAGTATTCCCGTTATCTCCCCTCACACACAGCCCTCCACCTGACCTGTTCTGGCGCGCGTTCTGACCAGCGTTTCGAGGTCAGCACGAGCAATACCAACAACAGTAGTAGCTCTAGGCCAGTGGCCAATACGAGTGCGAAGAGCAGCGCGAGCTCAACAAACACGACGCGAACCAGCAACACCACCGCGACCGGGTGCACCGTGTCCAATGTGATCAAAACGGCCAGGACCAACAATACGTTGGTGATCGCTCCGCGGCCGACCGGCTGCATAATTTGGGACTATCCAAACATTACGCAGGAAAGCAGTAGGAGTGTGAGTAACAACGCGTGGGTCATCAGCACAGCTGGGACGAATGGCGTGTCGGTCAGCATCACGAGCGCCAGCGAATACATGGATGCTACCTACACGGCTGGGGCTATCCGTATGGCGGTGATCCGTACGAGTGCGCGCGGCGGCGCGAGGGCTACCAGCAGTGGCAAGACTCGTGGCCAAAACTCGGTGGCCCATTTCGGCCACCTCCGGCCTTGGGGTGCTAGATTTGAGCTGAGGTGAGATTTTGAGCCGCTCCAAGGGTGGGGACTATGGGGGCGACGGATCCGATCGCCAGCGATCCTGGGGCGGTACATGCGACGCCGAGGGAGGAGGAGGAGGAGGAGGAGGAGGAGGGAGGAGGAGGAGGAGGAGGAGGAGGAGGAGGAGGAGGGAGGAGGGAGGAGGGAGGAGGGAGGAGGGAGGAGGGAGGGAGGGGGCGTCCACCCCCTTTCCCACCCGAGGGGGAAGGTGTGAAGTCCCTGCAGACGGGGCGGCCGCCACCGGCTAGATATGTGCACCAGCGGTCCTCCGCCCGGCGACCTTGCATGGCAGCACTCCGACACTCGTGGCTACTTCAAGCTGTCGCCAGCCGTGGCGACGAGGAAAAATACAGGCCAGTGGGAAGATCCCGATATTTCCATCCCATCGCCTGTCCAGCATCCTGGTATAGTGTGTATGCGATGCGATATCATGCTTATCATCCTCTTCCCTCCTCATCCCAATCTTACACCGATAGATCGGGTGAACATCCTCCAGGACAAACCCATCTGGCGGATAGGGAAATACAACGCACTACCAGAAACATGAGCAGGGATAGTATAATGTCACATGTGGCGCGAACGCATCTAGCGTGCCTGCACTCATTCTCGCCTCAGGCCCCGGCCACGGATCAGCATCATATCTCCCCCTCCTATGTCCGAACTCCTGTCTACGACATCCTCCTCTTCGTCGTACCCCTCCGCCGCTTCGACACCTTGCTGCTGCTCCACCTCCCCAGCGGCCTCCGCCGCAAAGGGGACTGGGAGGAAACCCACGCCCAGGTGCGGTGACACGGTCTCTCCCCTGCAGCCGAGCGCGCATCTCCGCGCGCGCGCCCGACGCCACCCGCCGACGCCGAGGAACCGCGCCAGGAATGTGCAGCGATGCTCCTCCTCCTCCTCCTCCACCTCCTCCTCCTCCTCCTCCTCCTCCTCCTCCTTCTCTTGTCTCCTCCTCCTGCCTCCTCCTCCTCCTGCTCCTCCTGCTCCTCCTGCAACTGCTCCTGCTCCTGCCTCCTCCTCCGCCTCCTCCTCCTCCTCCTCCTCCTCCTCCTCCTCCTCCTCTTGTCCCCACCCGTCATCTGCCCTCCCCTTCCCCTTCGCCGCCGCTGGCGGGCCAGGAGCCAACGCCGCGCTCGACAGGTGGAGGCCGGCGACGTCCGCTGGCGGGCCCCCCGCGGCCTTTGGGGGGGGGGGGGGCACCGCTGCCACCGCCCCGCTCCGCCCCGTCGCGACCCGCTGGCGCCTCTGTCCCGCTTCCCGGGTGCGCTCCTCCCGCCCGGCGCGGCTGCCGCTGCCTCCTTCCTGCTCCTCCCTGCTCCTCCCTGCTCCTCCCTGCTCCTCCTCCTCCTCCTCCTCCTCCTCCTCCTTCCTCCTCCTCCTCCTCCTCCTCCTCCTCCTCTCTCTCTCCTGCTCCTCCTCCTCCTGCTCCTCCCGCTGCTCAGAGCCCAAAGCGCGAAGGGGTCCTCGGGCGAAGCGTCGGGAGACAGCCCAGGAAACACTGAGCTCTCCAGGGCCCATCGGGGTTGCTCATCCCCCCCTCCTGCTTCTCCTGCTCCTCCATGCTCCGCCCCAGCGGCAATGGCCTAGAGATCCTGCCTCCCTCCTCGGCCGTGTTCCTCTTTCCGTGTACCTTTGTCCTCCCGTTCCCTGTTCTTCCTGCCTCCTCCACCTCCTCCTGCTCCTCCTCCCCTTCCTCTGCACTTCTCCTTCCTAGTCCCTGGTAATTCCCTACCCCAGATTCCTTACCCCACCCTTCTCGTCGTCCTCCTCCTCCTCCCTTTCCTCTCCTCCCCGTCCTCCTCCCGTTTCCCCATCGAGGGGTTGGGCGGGGAGGTGGCGGAAGATTATATTTGCGCCAGCCTGCTCCGCCCCAGCGTCACGAGTGGCACCTGCCCATTCAATCGTTGCGCGCGCGTGCCCTGCAACAAGTCACGCCTCCGGCGGAGGCACACGGGGTGGATAGCCCAGAGGGGCGGGCATGACACGGCCACTCTCGCCGGGAGCCTCGCCGAAGTCATGGGCGATCGGAACCCTCGATGCAAAGGTGATCGAACAAATCAAACATGCTCCCCCCTGGGCCACCCGCCCTTGCCGATGCCGCCCGGGGCGCGCGGACGCAGGACGCGCGCGCCCAGCCGCGGACACGAAGCCGCCCCCCAGATCACGAGGGTGTCCCTGTGCCGCGCACGCTCGTGCCAGGCGCGCTCTCGAAGGTCATGCGGCGGATTCCGGGAGCCCTGCACCCAAACATGTTGCCAACCCTTTCTGTCCATCGCTCCGACGTCCATTCACTGTGCTTTTTGTTGGCTTCGTGCGTGGCTTTTTCGCCAAATGATCAAGGATGCTCCTCGATGGTCCTCGCCGAAGGAAAAATGCACACGTCCGAGCGATGCCAAGCTTTGGGGCGCATGTTTCACTTCCGCCGCCTTCCGCCGCCTGTTCCGCCAGCTTCCCGCCGGCGGAAGCGGCCTCGTTGTGCTGCCGCCAGCCGTCCGACGCCCTTCCGCTGAGGAGATGGCAGCTCCTTCGGCCCTGGAAGGCGAGGCCCTTTCTGGAAAGCCTCATGTACATCCATGGTCGCGCATGTGGGTGCTCCCCGTCCCCACTCGGACGGGCCTAGAATCGAGGTAAATTCATTCCAGATCTCGTTCGGGGCCGCTCTCAGAGCCCGATACATCCTCCAGACCCGCCGTCCCTCAGCGACTCCCATAACATGATTGTCATTCGGCAAATATCATCGTTATACATGTGTACATATATATATATATGTCTATATATATATATATATATGTCTGTATGTATGTGTGTCTGTGTATATATATAGATATATCGGTCAAAATGTCAATGAATTCTGCCTTCGTCTTGCCCACCCCCGCCGCGATGCCTCGGGGCCCGCGCCAGCCCCTGGGCGGGGCTCGGCGCTGAGCCGCAGCGAGCCGGCGGCGCCAGCGGCGGCGAAGCACCGCCGGGCGGCCCAACAGGCCGTGGCGCCTCGGAGCGGGCCGAAGGCTGAGGATGTCGGCGTGGCTCCATGAAAGCGACGAGGAGAAACGGGTCTTATGCTCGATGGCAGATTAGAAGGCACGTCCTTGGAGGTCTTCCTTGGAACAAATGAGAGCGACGGAGCCCGATTCAAAGGCCACGTCGCCGGACAAGGCAAATGAAGCCTGGGGTTGAGCCGGAGTAAATCGGACGAAGCGGGGTTATGCCGGATCCGCCCAGATTAAGCCGGTTATTGACCGCGAGAATGCAAGCGCCGATGCGGAGTTGCACCTCCCAGGAGATGCATCCTAGGGCATCGCGACCTCCACGGTGGCCTACGCGGGCCGCCAGCGCGGCACGCCACCCTGGAAACGAAGGCGTTTCCGCGCCACCTTCCGCGGGAAGCTCACGCGCCAATGTCGGCGCAGTCGCACCCGTTGGCGTGCGACGCTCATGACGGGGGCAGACCCGCGGAAGGGAAGCACCGTGGAGGGACGGAGAGGGCCCCACGAGCGAGCGCGTGGCCCCCGGGGGAGGGCCGAGGGAACCACCGCAGCGCGGCGGAACCGGGGGGGCCGGACGGGGGGGACCGACCGAGACGGCCAGACGAGCATGCCAGGTCGGCTCGAAGGGGGGGAAGCACCCGCGCCCGACCCTCGATGCGGCACTATGCAAGGCGCACCGTCTGTGCAAGTTTCCGGGGAACCGCCGCAAACGACTCGGGCTGAAGAGCCAGTCCCAGAGAGGAGGTCGAGACCTCCAGAGATCCAGGTTGTGAGAGCATCGCGGCGTCGGAGCTCTGGTGAGGAGCACAGCGGGGTTGAAGAGGAGGAGGAGGAGAGAGGCGGTGAATGGGGACTCCTCTTCTCCCACGTTTCGTGAATGTGGGCTCCCAAGGAAGGAGACCAAGCCCTGCCCCGAGACTAGGCTCCCGGGCCGTTTCTGTTGAGGCTCCTTCTTGCCCGGGGAGGGCCCACAGCAAAGACACTCAGCAGAAGCTGTCCGTCGTGAGATCTGTTGCGCGGCGCGAGGGGGTCTGGGAAGACGACGTCGAAGAGGCGACGATGAGACAGGGGCGCGCCTGCAGCCAGGGCGCCCGCCAGACTGGGGATCGAGGCGCCCCGGCGGCGCTCCATGGTGGCGTGCCGCCGGGGAGACAGGGCAGCTCGGCGAGGCCCCCGTTCCGAGCTCGAAAGCGGCTGCGCAGCGAAGGCGAAGGAGGAGGAGAAGGAGAAGGAGGAGGAAGAGGAGGAAAGGCTCTGATTCCTCCTCCTGCTCCTGTTTCGTTATTCCTGCTTTTCTTCCTCATCCTGCTGCTCCTCCTCCTCCTCCTCCTCCTCCTCCTCCTCCTCCTCATTCTCCTTTTCCTCCAATCCTCGCCTCCTCCGCCTCCCCCCCTGACCCCCCTCGTCCTCCTCCATTCCTCCCGTCACTCCGCCATGTTGCTCCTCCTTCCCTCCCCCTCCTCTCCCACTCCTTGTTCATCCCCTCCCCCCCTTCCATCCTCATCATTCCCTTCTCACCCTACGTCATGTGCCTTCTTCGTTATCCTTCTTCTGAATATTATTATTACTATTATTATTATTATTAATGTGAGGATTTTCCTGTTCAGACTCCACGCGCGCTTCAGACTCCGCCTCTTCTAACACCTACAGTGGCAGCAGCAACTTCTTGCAGTAGTAGTAGTAGCAGCAGCTTCTTGCAGTAGCAATAGCGGTGGCAGTAGCAGGAACATGGACGTAGCAGTAATAGTTGCAGTGGCAGTCCCCTCCACCTCCTGGTAATAGAGGCAGTAGCAGTAATAGTGGCAGTAGCAGTAATAGTAGCAGTGGCAGTAATAGTGGCAGTGGCAGTACCCCTTCCGAGCTCCGTGCAAGTCTAGCCAGGCTGCACTAAGGCCCAAGGCCCAAGACCCACTGCGCGGACACCATCCTACAAAGACAAATAATGATTGGGGGTTCCACCAAGCGAGGGGAAGTAGGAAGAGGACGAGGATGCAAAAGGTGGAGGAGGACTAGGAGGAGGATCAGGGGGAGGAGAAAGAGGAGGAGGAAGAGGAGGAGAAAAACAATGGGAAGAGGGGAGGAGGGGAGGAAGATGAGAGACATAGGAAAGGAGGAGGAGGAGGAGGAGGAGGAGGAGGAGGAGGAGAAGGAGGAGGAGAAGGGGGAGGACATTTAGAGAAAGAAAAGGAGGAGGAGGAAAAGGACGCAGGAGGAACAGGAAGACGCAAGGAGGAGAAGGCGGAGGCGAAGGATCGCAGGTGGTCAACCGCCACCAAACACAGGTTCCTATTGCGCCTACTGTTGCTCCTGTTCCTGCTCCTGTTTCTCATGTGCCTCGTCCTCCTCCTCATCATCCTCATCTGGTTGTAAATAAATACCGCTGCCCCCCCATCAAATTGCGCCCCTATCCCACAGCGCAACCTTTACATGGAGGGGCCTGGAATCCCACCAGCCCTCCCTGGTGTAGGTGGTTTAGGGAGTTTCCTCTTCCACTCCCTTTCTTTCCCTTCGGGGAGGGGCCTCCCCTGGACCTGGACGGGGCCGGTCGCGAGGGGCCAGGGCGTCCAAAACGGCCTCGGCGAGGAAGCCAAAATCATCGGTGTTTTACCCAGGTTTGGGCCCCATGTTGGCCACTTGGGGGGGCGGGGCAAATTAACTCCACCCTTTTCTTTGATCGATCTCATACAAGATGGCCCCAAGAGGCGCCCAGGAGGCCCCAAGAGGTGAGGCCCCAAGAGGCCGCCATGAGGCCCCAAGAATCCCCCAAGAGGCTCCAAGAGGCTCCCAGGATGGTTCCAAGAGGCCTCCAAGAGGCTCCAAGAGGCCGCCATGAGCTCCAAGAGACCCCCAAGAGGCCCCAAAAGGCTTCCAACAGGCCCCCAAGAGCCCCCCAAGAGGACCCCAAGCGGCCTCAAGAGGCCCCCCCGAAGCACCCAAGACGCCCAAGAGCCCCCATTGACCGCCAACAGACCCCCAAGACGCCCGAAGAGGCTTCCAAAAGGCTTCCAAGAGGCATCCGAGCGGCATTCAACCATCCACCCAGCGTCATCATTCTCCTCATCCCTCCTTCGTTCGGTTCCTCGTTACCCCCTTCAACTATCCATCTGGCCCCCTCTTCCGCTTCATCCTTTGCGCGGATCGGCTGTTCCTCTCGTTGCTCCCCCACTTTCCTGATCTCTTCAACTCGCCTGGACATCGTTTCTGGATGGGCTGGTGGGGATACGCGAAGCGTCAAGAATATATGAATTGACCTCCAAGGGGCCCATTTTTGTTCAGCAAGGCTTCCTCTCCGCACGACGGCGCATAACAGCATCCTGGTAGTATGCTTTGCCACGGTCGGAAAATGAAAACTCGGGCGCGGCAGCATTTACATCGCAATTCTGCATCAAATAATCAAACGCGCTGAACGGAATCCGCACGCCGTCAGCGACATCCGAGGAGCCATGCTCCATATTGACAGGCCAAACCAAAACATCGCGCATCGCAATCATGATGCACGTCGCAGCTGACCACGGAACCGCGGGCTTCTTGCTCGCTGGGGCTGCGTGCGACACCGGCGAAGAACATCTCAGCCATGTACCGAACATGTTCAAACGCTGTCCAAACTTTGCTGGCTTCAGTAGAGGCCAGTACGATTCGACCACGACGCTCGGCTCATCGAGCTCGTAGTTCAAACGCGCAACCTTACCAACCCGTATAGGGCATTGCTCGCGAGCGTTGCCCGTGTTCCGATACACTATGAATACGTCACACTCCAGCGGGCCCATACAGTAAGCATTGACCGTGTTCTCGCCACTGGCAATTTGCAACAATTGCATCGGCCCAGATCCACCTCAGACAACATAGTAGCGACCGAAAACATCACCCCGATCCGCTTTATTCCAATTCTTCCGCTTCGGTGAGGGGTCTGATCGTTCAGGCCTACGGGAGGTTTGTGGCGAGAGCTCCCAATGAGCCTTAATGTGTCCAAGGCGGTTCAAGATAGCCGAATACGGGTTCATAGATGATCCAAGACTCCCCAAAGCAGTTCCAAGACGGCCCCAAGTGTCCACGGACCCGAAGACCCCTTGAAACCCGAAGAGGGGCCCAAGAGCGCCCCAAGACTGCGTGTGAAGATGTGCGTCGAGGAATGTTTTTTTTGCTGTTGTTTCTGCAGACAAAACCTCCACCCTCCTCCTACGAATGGTTTCCTCCTGCTCTTCCCACTCTCACCCCATCCGCCATCTTGGTCTACGCTCCCTAGCCTCGAGCAACTCGCATGGGCATCCTCGATGCAGGGGCTGGTTGGGACACGCGAAGTTACAGGGGGAGGCGGAGGAAGCGGACCTGGAGGGGCATGCGATGGAGTTGGCCGGAGGTACGGGGGAGGAAGAGGGATTGGTTCGATTTGTTTATGTCAGCTTGGCATAAGAGACCAATCAGTTGCTCAAATGCGCGTAGACCTCCACGCATGGCGATCCTGAGCTCTCGCCAACTAGGGCCCCTCCAGCGCAACCGCTAGCTTAAGACATCGCATTTATGGAAAGCCAGCCACCTGCGGATGATCCAGGGAAGGCAGCCGCAATAGCCTTGTCCAGTGCATCAGTATCCACGCCCTTCACCAACTGCGAGGCCTGGCCCATGCCGCGCTTCGCGTTCTTGCGCACGAGGTTGATCTTCTCCTCGAGCGGTTGACCTGAGGGCAAGTACTCGGGTAATTCATCATTGACGAGTTTTCGCATGTAGTCCAGATGATTGCTGCAGTCGCGGCCGGCTTGTTCCAACAGTGCTTGGAGCTTCTTAAGCCGCGCGAGGTGCGAGTTCACGAACTTCTCAGGCCATTCTGGAACCAAGGGCGGCGCCCACCACTCACGTATTTCGGGAATGTTGACCCCAGGACAGAGCACGATTGGCTTGCACCAATCGCATGTCGTGAGCCATCGCTTAGCCTGAACGCACAAATCACCATCGCCACTCCGAAATACTCGCAAATGGTGTGGTAAGCTAATACCCTTCACAGAATCTGCTGTAAGACTCGGAGGCCGAGAATCCCTGAACCCCCACACGTCACGCATATGTTTCCATAGGGGTGGCCGTTTCACCCTCTGGTTGAGTTGGGTGAACATGTCTGGGAGAGATAGCACATCCTTGGCATGGAGAGCGCGACTGACAAATGCGAAGGTGGCGTCGATCAAGTCATGTGTGTGACCAACAAGAAGGTAACAATATTCAATCGCTTGCAATCTAGTATGCTGCAGCTGCGCTAACAACCAAATAGCTGCCGCTAGCGTAATTGTGTTCTTGGTCTCCTTCGCCGCGTTGTCAGCTTGTATGACTAGCCGCCGGGGCAAGAACCCTAGCTTTGACGTGGCTTCAACCAGCACATCGACCATCAGGGAACAAATCATATCTCCACCATGGACTTGGTTTTCAAACACAGTATAGAATACAGGATTGTCCCACAGGGTAGGTCTGAGCACCCCAATGAGATGCACGATCAACCTGGACCCGCCCTTCTGGAACTGCGTGTTGGACAGCGCTTTCACCCTCGGCAGAATAGTTTTAGCCTGATCCATCTTGTCCCAACCAACTGTCACTAGCTCTTCGGGGTGCCGCTCGCTTTCTGCAAACAGTTGATTCATTGCCATCCTCTGCGCAGCTTGGAACTCATAATGCTGCCCAAGTTTTCGCAACAGCAAGTCCTTCACGTACTGATCCTTGGCCTCTGTGATGAGCATGTGGAGAAAATCGCAAAAACCACAGTGGGTAAATGGCCCCGATGCCGCCCGCAGCTGCAGCCATGGAAGTTCTTGGCGCCAGACTTTCAGGAAATAGCTCTGAGAAGCGATGTGTGCAGGGTCTGCATTCTTCGACGTCCTGTCATGGAAGTACACAGCAAAATAATCTTGTTTGCGGCCAGCTGGCAACCATAGTCTGTCATTCATGGGCGAAGTGTCTGCGTTGGCCTTTGCGTAAGCAACTAGCCATGCCCGCGCGTTCATGTACGTCAGTGGGCGAGAGCACACCCAGGAACCCAAGCCATGAGGCAGTGCAGGCATCTTGGCGCCAACTGCAAGATTACGGGCGTCTTGCAACGTGCACGCGTGCATGCCAGTCAGAGCGATGAATGCGTCTCTACATACCTTACGGCCGAAGATGCGGTACTGCATTTGGAAGCACGTGGAGTCGCCCATGCGTCTAGCCGTGTGTGCCTCAAATGCTTGTGCGTACTCAGCGGCTAGACGCTGCGCCCGGTCGTGTTTGGGTAGACTATGCCACATCTGCCGCCATTGCAGCACTGCTTCAGGATGATGCCTGAATGCATCTAGGCACGTGTGCTCTGAGTCTCTCTTCCAGCACGGCTTGCTGATATCAGAAATCACTTTGTTCAAATCGAGCTTATTGGCAATCTTGCGGGACTTGACGTAAGCATTATATCTTCCAACGATTAAGTTTCCTGATGCCAGCCAATTCTTAGCAACCTGGTACACGTGCTCGCGATCTATGCCTGCCCGACGCTCCAATTCTTCACACTGGTATAATTGTAAGCGTCTCGGCATTGCAGGGCGCGAAGCGTGTTCTGCACCGCCGTGCCCGGGCTGTTGCTCAACTTTAGCCCAGCAGCTGCTTTCGTCATCTCCTCACTTGGGCGTTCAAATGGATCCCAGGCTGACAAACACTGGCATGCCCTAAACGTATGTGCAACTGTGGCGTCTTGTTTCTGCCCGCGGTTGTCGCCGCCACCACGCGTGCATTGATCCTCGCTGGGCGTCGTGGCATCACGATGATCAACTTGTGGAGCTCGAGAGGACAACAGAGCGTCGCCAGTCATATCCACTGCGCGCGAGATGTCCCTTGCTGTTTCTGACAGAGGCAAGCGCGCGTAATAATGGACATTGGCGCAATTGGCAAGAAATGCGATGGGCAGGTCCTGGGCGGCACGGGCTAATTCAGGAGCTAGGATTAGTTCAGGCCCACCGCGGCCAACCCAACAAACGAATTAAATCTCGAACACCCCAGACCTTAGCCACATGGGTTTGACGATCACACATCGCAATCGCCTCGTCTGCAGAGGTCACGTGAACATTGCCCGAGACCGACCGTTGTCCACAGACAGGGGAAAGGGGGGGGGGGAACATGGGGGCGAGGAGGAAACGGATGGCGGAGGTAAGAAGAATGGGCGGATTTGAGGAAGAGGGAAAGCCAGGGGAGAACATGAGGAGGCGCGCATGTGGCTGGCAAGGTGAGCAGGGGCGAGAGTCGATGATGATATAATGCCCAAGGGAAAAGAGAGAGCCCGCCAATCTTGGGTTTCGAGAGCTCTTGCGTCTAGCTTTTCATGCAAATCGCGAATGTTCCTTTTCATTCTAGCCTCGAAGGCTTCATTTCGAATGCCCTTCGCAGACCCTTGCAAGAATTGGGGGCCCCCGTGGGGCACTCTCACAAGCTCAGGTGCCACTTTGGATCAGGCTCACACTGCGTGACCCAGCGTTGGCCTCGTGATTCGGAGCGTAATGGGGCGGTCCAGGTTATCCCAATCCGCTGGGCTCACGCTTTGACTCTGCAGCGCCGCGCCCCATCTTAATTCCCCCTGCCCTCGCCCTCATCTCCGCGGTGCTTCAAGCGCAGTCGCACCGCGGCACCTTGCAGCGTCAAGAGTAGAAGCGAACAGGTTGGGAGGATCAACGATGATGCGAGGGCCCAACGATGCGATGAAATGATGCGATGGCCAGCATTTTCATAATGACAACTCGATTTTTGCGCTGCCATTGCTGCACCAGAGCAACACGACCTACACAGCGCATCGTGCATACCGTAGCCTACCCTACCGTACCTTGCGAACTATTTGTTCACATGCACCCAAACAACACTCTAAACGAACGTAAAAACGGAACTGTTGGTGTAATACAGCGCCCATTTGACCAGAACCATTGAATTACCTGCGACATTCTGGCCTCTTTTTGGGATTCCAGGGGATGGGGGGAATGGGGCTTGACCGACGGAGGGGAGGGGGGGGGTGGAGGGGAGGGGGGGGGGGAGGTGAGGGAGGGGAGGGGAGGGACGCTTATTCGACGGAATCGCCGAGCAAGGAGACAGTCTGCCCGTCGCAGCTCGCGAGTTGGCAGGTACCCAGGGCGCTAAACATCGGCAGTTCGCAGCGTGCGTCGCCGCCAATTACATGTGCCCCCATCCTCTTCTCAACCATCTTTCCCTCCTCATCCTCCTCCTCTCTTGCTCCTCCTCCTCCTCCTCCCCCCCCTGGCCCCCCGGAGGGGGGCGAGTTGCCCCCCTCGTCGAGACTGCGGCTCAAGCGCCGCGCCACCTAAGTGCCGCCGAGCGCACCGCGCGTGCGCTTCGCCGCCCTCTCACACGGCGCAGCCGTAGCAGGTGGGATCCGCCGCCGCTTTGAGCGACTGGCCCGGCGTCGACCCTGCTTCCATTTATCAGATAGCGTCCCCTGGGGCCCGAGGACCTCTCCCCACGCCGAGGCGCATCGAGTCCAACGTGCGTTCGTGTTGGCGGCATCGCGCGACAGCGCAACCTGGCCGGCTGGCAGCGCAATCGCAGTCGAGCTCGAAGCAGCGGCTGAAGAAGACGCGGGCGTCTGCTCGATCGGCTCGGACGCATGCTCGAGCTCGCGCTTGAATTTCACCGCCGTGGCCACGCCGATCGGCTCGGGCATCTGCTCGAGCTTTCCCTTGAACAGCACCGCCATGCGATCCTCGGTCCTGAACTTCGCCGCCGCGGCACCCTCGCGCCCGTTGGACATCGCCGCCTTGGTCGCGGGCAAGGGCGGCCTCATCGGCCCATGCGTGTCCTCCTTCTTCAGGTGCTTGTTGATCCGCTTGATGTAGTACTGGCAGCAGACTGCACCATCACCCATCGCGCCAAATACCTTCAGGATGTCGTAGCCCTTGCGCTCTGCATCGCATCGCCTTTGCCTTTGCTGCTCACGCATCTCGTCTGCGCGATGCATCTGTTCGAGCATATCCGCGAGCTCGGCAATGGATTGCATGTCGCATACTTCATCATCATCGGCAGCAGGCCTGTCATAGTCAGGGTCATTCAGCTGCCACTGCTTTTCTTCCGCGGCCTTGAACATGCGATCCAGAAGGGCGAGCCACCCCACCTCGTCGTCGGGGTCCACCGTCATGGCCTCCGCGTCCTGGTGCAGCTTCGGCTTCTCCAGGAACTCGACGCACGCCGGCTCCGAAGAAATCGGTCCGAAACGGCAGGGGCCGCGCTGACCAGGGCCAGCCATCGCGCTGATCTGGGACCACTGCAGGACCAGAGGAGTCCACAGGGGGCGTTTCGGCAGGGGGTATCCCAGGGGCGTCGCAACGTTAGCGACAGCAAGGTGTTGCTGTCGTTGCGACGCCCCTTCGGTAATCCCCTATCCAAACACCACCGTTGAACCCCTCCAGTGGGCAAGCTCACCCGCCGGCGGCGGGGCAGGCGGCGCGCGGCAAATTGAGCCAAAATATGGCTACAGGCAGTTGGAGGGCACCCTCCTTCTCCACTGCCAAGATGACTCCAAGTCAGCTTGAGGAGGTCTTAGGCCAGGCTCAAGAGAGCCGAAGCCGATGGCCCAAGATATTGCTTCGACCATTTTCCCACCCTATTCTCCCCCCCCCCCCTCCCCGGCATCCTCATCCTTCTTCCCGCCATCGTTCTCTATCGTGCATAGTTTCCACATTTTACGCTTCATCCGCCTTTTCCTTCCCTCCTCCCCCCATCCTCCTCCTCCTCATCATCGCCCCCCTCCTCTCTTTTTCACCTCCTCGTCCGCCTCTCTGTCTCGCCGCGTGCGGGTTCAGGTTCGCGGGGGCCCGTCGAGGCCCCAGGGGGTTCAGCGTTCGGAAAACACGGGCACGGTCGTGGTCGTGCGCACGCGCGTTCACTTCCTAATCCTCCGCATCCTCCTCATCTGCCTCGCCCTCCTTCTCTTCCTCCTCGCCGTTCGCCGAACTCTCTCTCATCATCCTCACCCTCGCCCTATCCCTACTCTTACTCTTCCCCCCATCATCCCCCTCATTCTCGCCCCCATGTCTTTTCCGCCCCACCGCAACAAGATTTCCGAAGCTGGTTCCAGATGTGGCTCAGGAGTTGCAAGGGGTTGGCTTCCAAGATGGCCCAAGATGATCGGCTTCGAAGTCTCGGCGGTTATCGGCTACTGTCGTCGTCGTGGCGTCCGCATTCTGATTGTTGCACATCCATTTCGATTCGACGTCGGTCCAAGTGTCTCATCTCCCTCATGCGGAGGAGGAAAGGGTGGAGGAGGAGGAGGAGGAACAACCATCCCGAGGCTCAAGTAAAGCCGAACATACACCTGCCACCCTAGGAATAATAATTAGATTGATTAGCTGGATAGGTCGAGCATACGCGTCGAACATATATGCCAACCGCACAAGATTACTATGAGATACAGGCCCTGGGCATGGGAAGCCTTTGTGAAGCATGCAAGCGACAGGGGCCATGGGCGATCAGGATTCAGACACTGAGCGCCAGACGCAGCTACCACCATGGGAGTATCAATCCATGTCCGCGGAGTGCGCATTGATGCAACGTACTCGTCCATGGACGCGCATCCTTCCATTTGCACCCACGACAATACAGAGACACCAGGCACGACCTCAACGTCTTTGTTGCTCGTAACCCAAATCAACAACAACATGCGAACCATCAGCAGCGCTGACTCCCGGCCGTGTGACTGCAGGCGCTTCAAGACTTTCTTTGCCCGGAGGCTAGTGTCTTGAAGGCGCTCTATGTTGCGCAGAATTGCGTCTGGACCACAATCCCCATTGGTGGCAGTATCGTGGTCTAGTTGCAGCCCGTTGTCGGCGACAGTCTGAGCCATAATGTCCTCCACAGGCCGCAACGATTCAGACTTAACATGAGATGGCGATGGAAGTCTGAACGACCCAGAAGCCACAATGCCCTGCATTGAAACCACATGGTCCCGCAGGTCGAGAAGGGGCGGGCATCGGCGGCGATCCTGCCATCCTGCCCCAGCCATTCCCCCCCTGGAGCGCCGCCTGGAACAACACGTCGAGCCAAAACGGGATACGCACGCACGACCACAAAAAAATCCGTGCAATGCGATGCAATTGCAGGCAATGCTATGATTTGGTGTGATCTGAGAGGCAGTGCAAATACGGTCACGGTATACAGCGAATGTAGAAGAAACCGCAGGGGGCAGATACAGGGCCTCCTAAACAAGCGCAGGACCTTACGATCCGCTTCCAAACTGGGGAGGGAGGTAGCGATGCAGAAGACGACGCGCATCAGGCGCGCATGCTTACAAAGCCTCATTACGACGATCGAACAATGACCGCCTCAGTCTGCGATGGACACGTCTCAATTCATTTTGATTCGATGAGACCATGGATGTTCACGCGTGAGCCCCAGAAAAGGAGGAGGTGAAAGGGAGGTGGAGGAGGAGTTGTTTAACAGTGTGAAGAGGAGAGGCGGGGGGATTGAGGAGGACGCAAGGGGGAATAGCAGCACCGTTTTTTTGTTTTTCTTCTGCGACGGCGCACGCGCGTCAATCGACGCTTGGATTTGGCACCGAAGAGGCCCGCAACACTGACAATAAGGCAACTGCTATCACCCGCCTACAGCGCCGGCGGCGGCACGTGCCTGCGAACCTCTACTGTAGACCTGGCAGTGTAGTACACGTCGGACCTCCTGTGAGGACGGATGTCCTTCTCGAGTTCGTGGAATACGGGCTGCAATGCCTTGGGGATCTTCTCCTTGTGGCCCCGCGCCATCATGCCACATCTGCCGCCGTTGCAGCATTGCTTCAGGATGATGCCTGAATGCATCTAGGCACGTGTGCTCTGAGTCTCTCTTCCAGCGCGGCTTGCTGATATCAGAAATCACTTTGTTCAAATCGAGCTTATTGGCAATCTTGCGGGACTTGACGTAAGCATTATATCTTCCAACGATTAAGTTTCCTGATGCCAGCCAATTCTTAGCAAAATGGTGCACATGCTCGCGATGTATGCCTGCCCGACGCTCCAATTCTTCACACTGGTATAACTTGTAAGCGTCTCGGCATTGCAGGGCGCGAAGCGTGTTCTGCACCGCCGTGCCCGGGCTGTTGCTCAACTTTAGCCCAGCAACTGCTTTCGTCATCTCCTCACTTGGGCGTTCAAATGAGTCCCAGGCTGACAAACACTGGCATACTTCAAACGTATGCGCAACTGTGGCGCCTTGTTTCTGCCCGCGGTTGTCGCCGCCACCACGCGTACATTGATCCTCGCTGGGCGTCGCGGCATCACGATGATCAACTTGTGGAGCTCGAGAGGACAACAGAGCGTCACCAGTCATATCCACGGCATGCGAGATGTCGCTTGATGTTTCTGACAGAGGCAAGCAAGCGTAATACTGGACATTGGCGCAATTGGCAAGACATGCGATGGGCGGGCCCCGGGCGGCATGGGCAAATTCAGGAGCTAGGATTAGCTCAGGTTCACCACGGCCAACCCAACAAACGAATTGAATCGCGAACGCCCCAGACCTTAGCCGAATGGGTTTGACGATCATGCATCGCATTCGCCTCGTCTGCAGAGGTCACGTGAACATTGCCCGAGACCGACCGTTGTCCACGGACAGGAAAAAGGGGGGGGGGCATGGGGGCGAGGAGGGAACGGATGGCGGAGGTGAGAAGAATGGGTGGATTGGAGGAAGAGGGAAAGCCAGGGGAGAACATGAGGAGGCGCGCATGTGGCTGGCAAGATGAGCAGGGGCGAGAGTCGACGATGATAAAATGCCCAAGGGAAAAGAGAGAGCCCGCCAGTCTTGGGTTTCGAGAGCTCTTGAGTCTAGCTTTTCATGCAAATCGCGAATGTTCCTTCTAATTTTAGCCTCGAAGGCTTCATTTCGAATACCCTTCGCAGACCCTTGCAAGAATTGGGGGCCCCCGTGGGGCACTCTCACAAGCTCAGGTACCACTTCGGATCAGGCTCGCACTGCGTGGCCCAGCGTTGGCCTCATGATTCGGAGCGTAATGGGGCGGTCCAGGTTATCCCAATCCGCTGGGCTTTCGCTTTGACTCTGCAGCGCCGCGCCCTATCTTAATTCCCCTGCCCTCGCCCTCATCTCCGCGGTGCTTCAAGCGCAGTCTCACCGCGGCACCTTGCAGCGCCAAGAGTAGAAGCGAACAGGTTGGGAGGATCAACGATGATGCAAGGGCCCAAACGATGCGATGAAATGATGCGATGGCCGGCATTTTCGCAATGACAACTCGATTTTTGCGCTACCATTGCTGCACCAGAGCAACATGACCTACACAACGCATCATGCATACCGTAGCCTACCCTACATTGCGCAACTATTGTTCACATGCACCCAAATAACAACTTAAACAAAACTAAAAACGGAAATGTTGGTGTAATACAGCACCCATTTGACCAGAACCATTGAAATACCTACGACATTCTGGCCTCTTTTTGGGATTCCAGGGGATGGGGAGAATGAGGCTTGACCGACGGAGGGGAGGGGAGGGGAGGGGGGAGGGGAGGGAGGGGAGGGGAGGGAGGGGAGGGGGGGGAGGCTCATTCGACGGAATCGCCGAGCAAGGAGACAGTCTGCCTGTCGCAGCTCGCGAGTTGGCAGGCACCCAGGGCGCTAAACATCGGCAGTTCGCAGCGTGCGTCACCGCCAATTACATGTGCCCCCATCCTCTTCTCAACCATCTTTCCCTCCTCATCCTTCTCCTCCTCTCTTGCTCCTCCTCCTCCTCCTCCTCCTCCCCCCCCTGGCCCCCCGAAGGGGGGCAAGTTGCCCCCCTCGTCGAGACTGCGGCTCAAGCGCCGCGCCACCTAAGCGCCGCCGAGCGCACTGCACGCGCGCTTCGCCGCCCTCTCACACGGCGCAGCCGTAGCAGGTAGCATCCGCCGCCGCCTTGAGCGACTGGCCCGGTGTCGACCCTGCCTCCATTTATCAGATAGCATCCCCTGGGGCCCGAGGGCCCCTCCCCACGCCGAGACGCATCGAGTCCAACATGCGTTCGTGTTGGCGGCATCGCGCGACAGCGCAACCTGGCCGGCTGGCAGCGCAATCGCAGTCGAGCTCGAAGCAGCGGCTGAAGAAGACGCGGGCGTCTGCTCGATCGGCTCGGACGTATGCTCGAGCTCGCGCTTGAATTTCACCGCCGTGGCCACGCCGATCGGCTCGGGCATCTGCTCGAGCTTTCCCTTGAACAGCACCGCCATGCGATCCTCGGTGGTCCTGAACTTCGCCGCCGCGGCACCCTCG